CATGCCCATGACAACACACCCAAAGATCGGTTTTACGAAGAGAAATCGGTTAGTTGTTCGTGTTCGCGACGAGAAAGATGAAACATATAGCAAGTACTTACAACATTGCATTCATTGTGGTGAATGAGATTGCCGATGTATTCAACAACACAAATAGTCCGGGCCAAAACACATACACTTTAGGCCGAGAGGTTAAGGCATCCCTAGGGCCAGCATGGGAAAGTATTTTTTTTGACAGCGGGTAAAAAAGAAGACTAGCTCCCAACAGATTCGACATAAGAAATAAAACTACAGACAGACTTAGACCTCTAGCATGGGAGACTAGCATGGGAAAGTATGATTCCAAATAAGATGTTCATTTCAAAGAAATATGACAACAATTTGAAATCATGGTACTGCGATTGGCTAATTGTGAAGAGCACAAACACCTCCTTACAAGGCTGACGATGTCCATTCCGAATCACAAACGTAGGATTGGTAGACTAAGGGATCGGTCCAATACGTTTGGTCCATACCCTCTAAACTTGTATTAAATGTAGGACACTAGCTTAATGGTTAGGGTACCAATGAAAAGTTTATTTGTACCAGTAACCCGTTTCAGGGTACCACTAATGTGTTTACGTCATCCATATCAGTCTGTGTTGGTAGAATTAAAGGTATCACTAAATAAGATAAGAGTAATACTTATACGTGTTAGGGTACCATTAACACGTTTCAGGGTACAACTAAAATGTTTAGATCATCCATATCATACTCTGTGACGGTAACCCTACATTAGTTACAAGTACCCTAGTTAATGTAAATGTTGCAAGTGGAACATTATTTTTAATACTTAAGGCTACCAATTACATGAATAAGGGTACCAATAAAGTTTGGGAATGTAAGAGTTGTTGAAGTATTCGATCTTGCATACTCCAAATATTTGTTATGGAACTTTCTCCGAATGTGAACGTGGGTATTGGATAACAAATTAACTACGGTGGTGTAGACACCCAAATGTGTCTCCCCAAAAACTAAATCCAGTAATGAATACTTTTCACGTCGCTTGATTATCGAATGAGGTGAAAATGTGAAAAGTCTTGTGATGCGATTGTTTTTATTTAAATATTTCTTTTCCTACTCTATTTATGAAAAACATCCAATCTAGTTTTTTTTGGTCCATGATAAGGGTTCAATAATGGTGCAGTTGGATGGGGCTTAAAAATACCTTTTCAACGATATATTATAAGCCCAATTCCGATAAATAATGAGGAAGTTATGACCAAAATACTAAATTGGGCCCAAACGGATTTTACCTACGACCCAATGATCATGTGGAGGGTCCAAAGGTTTAATCCTATTCCTAAACTAATTAGGATTTATTAGAAGCTTCTACAAGTTTCTAAAAGATCTTATTTATCCTATTTTGAAAAGATAAGATCAAAGAATTCGAAATTGAATAAAACTTCTCTTTTTGAGAGTCCTTGTTCTGTGTGAAATGGAATATGTTCAGATGTTATTTTCGTGCCAGATAATCTTTATCCAAATCTTATATGGTTGGATAGATCTTGAGATTATCTTTCCAATGATATATTATAATATTAATTCCAAGCTATAACGAAAAAGATATGAAAGGAATACGAAACTCTATCCAAAACTGACACCGTCCCACTATTTCGGCCATATTTTTTATTATACAAAATATTTTAATCTTATTTTAATTAGGTTGGAAATTAGACTTCAATATCTTTCCAACGACATATTATATGAATTATTTGGACTTTTGGATCAAAAGATATGATAAAAACAAAATTCGCAAAAACTGTCCCAGCGCCAAATGACAGGTTTGTCGCACGGCGACAAAGTGTGCGACATAACCAATTTTATTCCGATTCAAATTCTAACACTTTTATATCGTTTTGGACTATTTTTTCTATAAATAGGGGTCGTATCTCCCCGTTTTTAATCATTCACAATCATCTAATCTCTTTATTCTCTCTCTAAATCTAGAAGCTTATTCTCTCTCTATTCTTTTTCTAAATCTTTCCCTTTTACAAAATTTCGCATACATTAGTTCTAGACACACCTATCCAAGTTCGAAGTTACCTTCGCCCTAGACGTGAAAGGTTGATAATTTTTTAGGGTTTGGTCCTAAATCCCTATTTCAATTATTTAATTTAATTGTTTGATTTATTATTTTGCTTGAAGTTACTAAAGCGTGTATTTTGTTATTAGAAAGAGATACGAGACATCCAAGTAAGTAATTTAATTGTTATAAATATCATGCTTTGATTATTTTGATTCCTAGTATCATGTTATGATGTCTTTTTGATTCCTAGTATCATGTTTAGGGTATTAACTAAGATTTCTAATATCATGTGTGTTTCTAGTATCATGTTTAGGATTCTTCCTATTTGTTCTATCATGTAAGTATCATGTTAGGGTTAAAAGTTTTGATCTTTAATGCTTAGTGACATGCTAGGATTTGTTATTAATATAGTATCATGTCTAGGATCTTCCTAACATTATCATGCTTTATTGAGAATATGATTATTATTATTATAATGATTGTTATTATGTTACTTGATATTATTGTTATTGCTTGATCACGCCTTTTATGCATATTTAAAGGGAATTTGTATCTGTAATCACGCTTAATAAGATAATTAATAATCTTGTTTAGGCTAATATGATTATAATTCAAATGATCGCCAATAATAGTTTTGTTTGTGCATTAATATTCAACCAACATAGATTAAACAGGTTGAGGACTTTAGGGTTAACCTATTTATTGTATGTTAGTCAGAAAGCGCACATGAATATGAGAAGAATAAAGTGGAGACCTATTTTTAGGGCAGATTCAATCTCTTTTAGGTTGGATTTGTACCTTCATCCCCGAATATCCAGTCATGATTCCAGACCACTATGGAGTTAGCGATCTCATGGATCGTGAAGGGGTGTAACCTTCACCCTGTGAACGGTTTACAAGTTCCTAAAACTTGTTGGTGTCTCTTTTACTCTAGCTTCCTTCCCTTTGGACGCCACCATGCTTAAGTGTATGATCACAGTGGGGCTCAAATGTGTGATGCTTGAAATATTCCCTACATGTGGTACCTATTTACCGTCAATAATTTCTTACCGTAAATAATCTAAATTTTGACATACCTTATGTATGCCTTCCACAAAAAAAAAAAAAAAAAAAAAAAAAAAAAAAAAAAAAAAACTAAAAAAAAAAAACTAATTTATACTCATAAAATTACAAGGGAGGGTATATATGTAAAGTGTTTTGATGGGATAATAAATTTGTTTGTGATAAGCCCTTACTGATTAATTAATAAATGTATACCAATCATTGATCATTTAAACTCTGTTGTTTATGATGCACTACATCCTTAGGTAATTTCAATTATACTTAGTTATAGGTGACTAAGCCTTGAAATCACAGAAAAAGAGCATTTTTCTAAGTTTAAGGTCGCATTTTCAACCTAAATAGCCTAAATAAAGCCTAAATGACTTCTACTTGCCCATTTTCTACATTTTTAACTAATGACCATGTTGTTTCTCATAAAATATCAATTATACTTATTTATAGGTGGAAAAGCCTTGGAATCACGAAAAAGAGCATTTTTCTAAGTTTAAGGTCGCATTTTCATCCTAAATAGCCTAATAAGGCCTAAATGACTTCTACTTGCCCATTTTCTACATTTTTAAACTAATGACCATGTTATTTCTCAAAATGTCAATTATACTTAGTTATAGGTGGCTAAGCCTTGAAATCACGTAAAAAGAGCATTTTTCTAAGTTTAAGGTCGCATTTTCATCCTAAATATAGCCTAAATAAGGCCTAAATGACTTCTACTTGCCCATTTTCTACAATTTTTAATTAATGACCATGTTCTTTCTCATAACATGTCAATTATACTTAGTTATAGGTGGCTAAGCCTTGGAATCACGTAAAAAGAGCATTTTTCTAAGTTTAAGGTCGCATTTTCATCTTAAATAGCCTAAATAAGGCCTAAATGACTTCTACTTGCTCATTTTCTACATTTTTTAACTAATGACCATGTTCTTTCTCATAACATGTCAATTATACTTAGTTATATGTGGCTAAGCATTGGAATCACGTAAAAAGAGCATTTTTCTAAGTTTAAGGTCGTACCTCATCAAGATGTATGGTGTTGGTACAATGAGTCGCTATGTCAAGCATGAATCTCATCACGTATAATCCACAATCAACTCCATTATCTTATTGTGGGCACTAGCATAGGAAAAAATCAAATGAATCAAACGTCACATAAAATCCACAATTGTTTTAGCAATGTTTATTAAGATAATCACAATATGATGTGGCATTACCATAGGTGATTTCCATGTAGGACCCCGTGGAGCACGACCATGTATCTTCTTCATAATACTATAGGAAAGTAAATTCAAATTTGATTAGTTTGACTACTAAATGAGTTAGGTTAAGATAATCAACACTAGGTAGCTATATTTACTTTTTGTAGTACAGACATCACGGGTACTTCTTTGTTGATCGAGCTGAATCAAGGTGAAAGATTGTGTTATTAGCAGGACAAATCACCATGAGGAACCAATGAAACCTACATAAATTCACAATACACAAAAAAATCAATAATTAGGGTACAACATATAATTCAAATGTAGAAAGAATTGAATTACACTTGGTTAAACGTACTCCTCATAACATGGGGCGAATATGAACTTGTCTCCCGCACGCATTGATTCCCTAATACTATTATTAACATAATACATCACCTCGGGGAAGTTGTGTAAGATTCTAGTCTCGGATGTCTGTTCAGGGCATAACAACCCAACTTTACTAGGGGAATCAGTGTCACTTAAGTGCTCCCGTAGTGCTCTGCGTGCATGTACAATGAAAAATTAATTGACATATATATGAAGGATAAACAACACTAATATGAATAACATAATTAATTTAAGTGGCATGTGCCCGTACCTCATGAATATTTGAATGAGAGAAATGTTAAGCATTAAACCTCTTAAAAATTCCTTCACATCTTGTTTGTTTAACCATGCACTTGCATCCTCATCATAATGGAACATTGCCTTAGGAAGTGCAATTTCAATGGGATCGTCACTAGGAAAATGACTAAAACGATTGTGTAGAAAAGTTAAATCCTTAGTGAGCGATTGAAGGGCATTGTCTCCAACAAGTGGAGTAGGTTGCATGGCTGAACCCTTTCGAAGAATTCTTTTTCGACACTTGTTCACTCTTCGACCCTTGTTCACTCATCTTCTTTGTAGGTTGATCAACGCTTTTAGGCTTCTCCACCTTCCTTCTCTTTGATGGTTGACTTTTTTTTCTAAATCTGATCAAACAAAGATAATTAGAGTTCAAAAATTTTTGGCCGGGGGTTAAGCTAGTAAGTACGCATGCAGATTTGTTATTTTGCACAACATCAAAATAAATATTACCTCGTTGATCAACCTCACCCAAGCACGTGGCCATTGCACATAGCTACCCTTTGCTTCCTAAAGAAGAGTAATCCCATCATCCACTATAGGCACCGGTAGTGGGATGTTTTCGAACCCAGCAATGTAAGAATTGATCCCGACCGAGTAATGTTGTGGCCTAAGCGATTGGAAATGGACCGTATCACCAGTCGTCGCTTGTGCACTACCATACGCCACCAACTGCAACTCTCCTCCATTTGATAGCCCCGGGGCTATAAGTGTACACTCGGTCTCTACCTACACCAGTAACGAAATTCACTTGTAAAAATTGAAATTATCGAAAAGGGTCTTTTCCTACACAATTGATCATGTAACGAAATTCACTATGTTAAAACCAAACACGCTCCCTCGAATCCTAAATTCACCTCTAAATCTGGAAATTCATGGGGTGTTGGATTATCAACCTCCCTCGAGTCCGCATGTGTGGGAGTAACAACCTGCAATAATTAATCAATAATGCCACATTAGATCTCACGTAACTCACTAGGTAGGCCAAAACTAATATATAGAAAACTACCTCATGTATCTCCTCTTCTCCATGTCTCTCATCTTCTCCTTGTCCTTTTGGGTGACTACTTGAGTCGACCGATGTAGTCGGGGGGAACGACAAGGGTAAGTTCATTTGCTTCGCCGAAGCATTGAATTCACCTATTAACTCATTACGAACTAGTTCCTTGATGGATGCCACCTTGGCATCCAATTTTTCTGGTGAGTTAACACTTGCTCGAGATCTTCCCATTTTTGTGTATTCTGAACCCATCACCTACTCCCATCCTAGAAACGTCCCTCCCATACCTACTACCCGGTCTGGATGGTAGAGCTTTCCCAAAGCCAAGGTGAAAGGGTCTTTCTCTATAGTCGGGACCAGCTTGCCTTCAACAACTTCTGTAGTGTATTCAAGCTGTAGCATAAGAAAAAATGTTAACATGAATACATATAATGTTTTTTATGGTAAAGTTATGCTAAAGTTTCAAATAGCTTACAAGTTTATCAGCCACTTTTTTTTCCGGTTCCTTGATGACCCATTTTCCGGTGTCCTTATCAAAGGAATGTAGAGAACAAATGAAATCGCCATCACGACTAACCAACGTAGTGATTGTGGAGTTGGAGGGTTCTTCGGATGACCCTTGAGTCAAAGTGGGGTATATACCCTCCTTCTTCCAAGTTTGCCTCCATTCACCAAATGTCTTGGCCCCCGTACGATGGCGGTACTCCTTCTACAATGCATTTGCCTTGTTTTGCTCTCGAATTTCCTACATAAATAGTAATGTTAGCATCATTATTGCAAAAAGAGTCAATATATTATACAATTCTCATTAGATTTAGTAGTTCTTACAATTGCTTTAGGTCGAGTTTTTTGAATAACAAAGTCTTTCCACTCGTCCTCCGTCACGCTTGGCCATTTTTTCCACGGTGGGTCTTGTTCCTCAAAATCTTCCTCATTTCCACCTTCACCATCATTTCCCTTGGAAGCTTTCTTCTTGTGTTTCTTTTTCTTATAGATCCATCCACTAGTCAAGTGGGTCTTGAAGCCTCTGAATCTCTCCACTAGTAAAGAATCAAACACCCTTCTCTTTTGGGGATCATTAGGAATATTAAACAACTTATGCAATCACAAATACAAGCAATTATTATTTTCCATTTACAAACAACCATTAGGTGAAATTATTTGTAATTGTGTAAATGTGCATTTGAACAAAACATTTGCCCTGGTATCATCCCAAAATGTTTGAATCAAGCCTGGAGGAACTTGCTTCCAACAAAGTGTAATGGGGATTTTGCGCGAACATATGCCAACTTGGTTTGCATATTTCCGAATCCATTGGCCAGTAGGGCGGCCTCTTTTGTCATACTCCAACACCATGGGACCGATTGGCTTCTTAAAACTTGTTGTCGGACCCCTACCCTTTCTCTAAGCTGGTGCCTTTACCCCCAATCCACCACCTGTGTTCAATTGCTCCTGTCCTTGGCTTTGAGTTTGAGGAGAAGTGTTCTCACCTACAATCTCAACAATTGTAGAATCAATAGGAGGTGCACATTCAGCTGAAATTTCAAATTCATCAAGCCTGCGCTCAAAAGCATCTTGTTCCTGATCTTCTGGCTCACCCAAATCAGTCTCCTTATTGATTCATATGGCTCGTCCTTGTCCTCATCCTCATCCTCATAGCCATCATCATCATCCTCTAAATCCTCTACTAGTGGGTCGTAATCGTCCTCCATGAGTTATAAACACCTGTCATTACAAACATAACACGATATTAGGTCCATCAGAGATAAAGATGTTGACATATAGGTCATAATACATGTTAGCATATAAAATATTAAATTCTATCATTTTTGATGCATTTTGATGTAACTTGTTATTTTCTAGTACCGTTAACACTAAAAAAAATTAAATTCTATCATAATATGTCAATTTTGAGATATACTTCATTCATTAACAAGAATTTGTGAAAATTTAGCAACTAAGATAACAATATCATACATTTTCCCTCAAACTATTCATAAAATTACCTAACTTCTGATTAAATTTAATAATACTTTTAATTGCTTACAATTTCAAATTAACTGTTATAGTACCTCATTCTAATATTCCTTCGTTGTGGTCTGACTGCATATAACATGTCTGGTCGTCTATGTCATTTGATGCAATAGGTCTAGGAACAGTGAAAGGTGCTGAATCATCAAACGCATCGTATTCTTCCTCATCTTCAACATCTCCAATGCCTAGGATTCTTCTTTTCCCAACTAGCACAATAGACCATTTTGAATCGACTAGGTCAGTTACATAGAACACTTTCTTAGCTTGAGAAGCTAGGATGAACGGTTCCGCACTATCATTCAAGTGCCCAAGATCTACAATAGTAAAGTCATCATACTTGACATTACGCCTATTATTATCAACCCACTTACATTTGAAAAGAGCAACCGTGAAGTTACAATAATCAAGCTCCCATATTTCTTGAATTCGACCGTAGTATGACAATTTTGCATCGACAGGTGATTTATCCTTAGCACTTGCAAACTCCCTTGACTATGCCACAAGCATTACTCCACTGTTTTGGGTCGACGAAGATTTCAAATCCCGACCCTCTGTCCAAAAAGTGTACCCATTGATGTCATATCCCTCAAATGAGCGAACATCATCCCTAGGACCATAAGCAAGCCACCTTACTGTATCGGTGACACTATCATCCAAGCGACTCATCACTCGTTCACTAAACCAACTCACAAACCTCTTATTATGCAACTGCATTAGTGCCCTTTCACCTTTCGATGGAAATTCATCACGCAAACTAGCTATGTGCTCATCTAAATATGGGTGAGCATCTGCAACATGGTGCAACACATAAAGGTGTGCTTGTAAGAACTGATCTCGATCCGGTGACATTCGTTTTGACCCAATTGTGCCATGACCATCCAGTCTCCTTTCATGTCGAGAAGCAGGAAGACCAATAGGTTCAGCAACGACTAAATAGTCGGCCATAAAATTACCAATCTCCTCACTCACGGTCCCTTGAATCATGCTTCCTTCCGGATGAGCCGGATTCCTTACTTTATCTTGCAATGTGCCCATGTGTCTTTCAAAAGGATAGAAACACCTCAAGAAAACTGGACCACACAAATTAATCTCACTCACCAAATGAAGAATGAGATGCACCATTATGTCAAAAAATGAGGGTGGGAAATACATCTAAAATTTGCACAAAGTCACAACCACATCCGTTTGCAAAGCATCAAGTGTACAAGGATCAAGCACTTTGCTGCATATTGTATTGAAAAACGAACATAGGCTTGTAATAGCTTCCTTCACGTGCTTCGGTAAAATACCACGTATTGCAATTGGTAGAAATACTTGCATCAACATGTGACAATCATGGGATTTCATACTTGTCAGCTTCAATTCTCCACTTAAGGATACAAATCTTTTCATGTTAGATGCGTACCCAGATGGAACCTTAATGCCGTAAAGACATGCACAAAACATCCGCTTTTCTACCCTTGACAATGTGTAGCAAGCCGATGGTAAATACTTCTTCTCAACCTTGCCTTTACCCTCATCTCTACTCTTTGAAGCATCCGCGGCCTTTCCCTTTCCCTTGCTCTTCCCCTTTCCTTTTTTCGAAACATTTACAGTTTCTTGTTCCGGTTCCTTTCCCTTTCTGTCCTTCCCCTTTGTAACCTTGTCTTGAGGCCACAATTCTGGACGAATCCCGATCTCTTGCAAATCTAACCGTACACCTTTTCCATCCTTTGTTTTGCCTGAAATATTAAAAAGTGTTCCCACAAGAGCATCACACACATTCTTCTATATATGCATCACATCAAGACAGTGCCTAACATCATGTTCTTTCCAGTACGGAAGCTTCCACAAAATTGATTCTTTTTTTAAAAGAGCTGTTGAGACCGGAGCTTTTTCATATTTTCCAAACATTGTTCGTACACCCTTAACTCGAGCATAAACCTCAACACCGGTCAATGGCCTAGGCGCAGTCTCCTCTTCCACTTGCATCAAAATCCTTTTTTTGCCTGCGGTACGAGTGATCGCGTGTAGGGAATAATTTCAAGCCTTTAAAATCCCACTAGCTTGAACCCCACTGTGATCATACACTAAAGTACGGTGGCGTCCAAAAGGGAAGAAGATAGAGCAAAAGAGTCGCCAATAAGTTTTTAAGGAACTTGTAAACCGTTCACGAGGATGAAGGTTACACCCCTTAACGATCCAAGAGATCGCCAACTCCATAAGGTCATGAACCAAATAAGGGTTCGGGGATGAAGGTACAAATCCAAACTAAAAGAGATTGAATCTGCCCTAATAATAGGCCTCTACTTTATTCTGCTCGTATTCATGTGCGCTTTCTGACTAACATGCAATCATTAGGATTAACCCTAAACCTGTTTAATCTATGTTGGTTGAATATAATGCACAAATAAATCTATTATTGGCAATCACTTGAATTATAATCACAATTAACCCTAAACAAGATTATTAATTATCTTATTAAGCGTGATTGCAAGTACCAAATTCCCTTTAAACATGCATAAAAGGTGATCAAGCAATAACAAATAAAATAATATGCATATCAAGCAACATAATAAATAATCAACATCATGAATAATAATAATAATCATAATCATGATAATCATGTTAAAGCATAGCAAGATCCTAGGCATGATACTAACAAGATTAATAACAAACCCTAACATGTCACTAAGCAATAAAAATCAAATCTTTAGCCCTAACATGATACTAACATGAATTAGAATTAGGAAGAATATAGGAAGCATCGTACTTTTAATCATACTTAATATTAAAGTTACCCTAAACATGATACTAGGAATTTATTGTTGTCACCCTAAACATCAAATTAAGGAAAACATCCTAACATGATACTAGGAATAGAAAATAACAATCTAAGCATGATTTCTATATCATAATATCAATTAAACCATTAAAGTACTTACTTGGATGCCTCGTACCTCTTTCTAATAACAAATTACACGCGTTAGTAACTTCAAGGAAAATAATAATCAAACAATTAAATTAAATAATTGAAAGAGAGATTTGGGACCAAA